GAATTAACAAACTCAAAAGCTGGCTCATTGATAAAAACCTAGTAACTGACAGAGCACTGTCTAGACTGAGAGGGGGGAGTGAGGGAGTGATGGGGAGAGAGAGATGAAAAATTGAACACCAGTTCACCAAGATCAGAAACAGATGAGGAATTATAGCTACAGATCCTGGACATTAAATAGATAATAAAATAATAAATAGATAATAAAATAATACACAAGCAATGCAATGACAACAAATTTGACCAACTTAAATGAAATAGACAATTAAAGAAAAAAATTTTTCTATATATTTACAACTGGGCTTGGTGCCTGTGGCTCAAGTGGCAGGTTCGAATCCAGCCTGGCCCGCCAAACAACAACAGCTACAACCAAAAAATAGCTGGGTGTTGTGGCGGGCACCTGTGGTCCCAGCTACTTGGGAAGCTGAGGCAGGAGACTCGCTTGAGTCCAGGAGTTGGAGGTTGCTGTGAGCTGTGATGCCATAGCACACCACCTAGGGGGACAGCTGGAGGCTCCTGTCTCAAAAAAAAAAAAAAAAAAAACTTATAGCTGGCTCACACCTATAACTTTAGCACTCTGGAAGGCTGAGGCAGGAGGATCACTTGAGGCCAGGAGTTCAATACCTGCCTTGGCAACATAACAAAGTCTCCACAAAATCTTTAAAAATTACCCAGGCATGGTGGCACTTGCTAATTCTATCAAACATTCAAGGAAGAAATAATACTATGTACCAATCTTATGCATACTTTTTCAGAAAATAAAGAAGGAGGGGAAATTGCTTAGATTGTTTAATGAGGCAAACAGTCCAAATACCAAAACCTTATAAGAATGTTACAAAAACAGAAAATTATAGATTAATATCCCTCATGAGTGTAGTTGTAAAGTAGTCTCAAAAATTATTAAGACATACTAGCAAATAAAATTCAACAAATATATAGAAGAATAATACAATATGACTAGAGTTCTTTTTTTTTTGTCTTTGACATTTGAATCAGAAACTAGGGTTTATTTGAGAAATTCAACTTCTGAACATTTTGAAAAATCATCCAATGTAATTCACTGTATTAAAGAATTACAGATAAGGGAAATTAATTCCACAAAAATTGACAGCCATTCAGGATAAAACTTCTGAACAAACTAGGAACGAAAGGTTACTCGGTCTAAACAAGGGCAACAACAACCACAAAAAACTCATGGCCAACTTGCTAGTGAAAGCCTGAAAATTCCCTCCTGGGATTTGGGAGGGATAATCATGTCTATTTCCTCACTTTTATTCTTCAACAAGATAATGATGTCTATTTCTCCACTTTTATTCAATGTTGCATTGGAGGAATGAAGGAAGCATCTGAAATAAAAGGCCTAACTATCAGAAAAGAAGTAAAACTGTGCTCTATTCACACGATATGTTTATGTGTCTAGAAAACAAGTACCAGAACTAAGAAGAGAACTTAGCAAAGATTCAGGTTATAATTCTCATATACAAAGTCAATTGCATTTTGTAAACTAGTAGTGATCAATTGGAAAAGAAATTTTTAAAAATACATTTGTAATAGCTCAGACACATCAGGGAAGGAGATATGTGTATATGAATGGTCAATGAATATTTGAAAAGATACCAAACATTGTTAATCATCAGGAAAGCAACAATTAAAAACACTATATGTACCATGCCACACCCATAGAATGGCTAAAATCACACTGGTTAAAATTACACTGACAATACCAAGTGTTAACAAGACTGTGGAGCAATTGAAACTCTCATATGTTTCTAGTGGACATGTAAAATGGTATAATGATATATCGACTTCAGAGAACAATATGGCAAGTTCTTAAAAACATAAACATTCATCTACTACTGACCTAGCTATTCTTTAGGTTTATAGCTAAGAGAAACAAATATACACCTGTACAAAGATTTATACAAAAATGTACATAGGAGGCAAATGAATGAACATGTGGTATATCCATACAACAGAATACTACTCAGCCCTATAAAGGAATGAACCATTGATACATGGAACTACATGGAACATCAAAATCACTACCAGAACTAATAAATGAACTTAGCAAAGTTTCAGGTTACAATGTTTATATACAAAATAAATTGTATTTTATAAACTAGCAGTGATCAACTGGAAAACAAAAATTTTTAAATATATTACTAATATCTCAGAAACATCATAGAAGAATATATGCCCATGGTCAATAAACACCTAACATCATTAATCATCAGAAAAGTACAAATTAAAAACAGAATGATACACCATGCTGAGTAAAAGAAGCCCCCCCCCCCAAAAAAGAGCATGGTGTATAATGTGATAGCATCTATTTTGGTTTCCTAGGTAGTTCAATCCTACTTGAGTTTATTCTCTCACTGTTCTGGAGGCCAGTCGTCTGAAATTACAGGACTGTCAGGACTATGCTCCCTGCAGAGGATCCAGGGAAGAGCCTTCTCTGCCCCTTCCTATCTCTGGTGGTTGCTGGCAATTCTTGCCATTCCATGACTTGTGGCTGCCATCACTCCAATCTGGGTCTCCACTGTCCCATGATCTTCCTCCTCCTGTGTCTTTTTGTGTCATCAAATCTCTCTCTCCAATGCCAGCCACTGGATTTAAGGCCCACCCTGATCCAGGATGACCTTCTCTATGTGGTTACATCTACAAAGATGCTACTTCCGAATAAGACCATGTTTGCTTCAGGACTTCAAGACTTTGACTTATCTTTCTGACGGACACAGTTCAATCCACAACACCAAAACCACACGTAAGATAATGAACATATCTCATCATCCCCACCAAAAGTTCCTATGCCCTGACAGAGTTGTCCAGAGTAGACATAAGAGAGATAAACGTCTTGACCTCTCCCTTCCTGTTTCTGATCTCCCACAAGTACACTCTGTTGTCCAAACACAGGTGAAAAACCAGAGATTTCCAGAGCTTAGGAAATGTTGTCTGCAGGAGCCATTCCTTGGGATGCCCAGCGGGTCAGGGGAAGGTAGGGGACAGGATCCGGCAGCAAACAGGGTGGTGTCTGACCCAGACTGCTTTAGGATGAGGTTCAACAGGAAGGTGCCTTGGGCCAAGGCAGTTAAAGTAATCCTTGGACAACACAGTTGTGAACTGTGTGGGTCCATCTGTACATGGACTTTCCTCTGCCCTGAGACAGCACGACCAGCTCCCCCTCTTCATCCTCCTCCTTAGCCTACTCAACCTGAAGACAAGGTGAAGGCCCTTGTGACGATTCACTTCCACTTAATGCTTAGTAAATGTATTTTCTCTTCTTATGATTTTCTTAAGAACATTTTTTTCTCCACCTTACTTTATTATTAGACTACAGTATATAATACATAAACAAAGTGTGTCAAATAGCTGTCATGTTATCAGTAAGGCTCTGGTCAGCAATAGGCTATCAGAGGTTAAGTTTTGGAAGAGCTGAAAGTTACATGCCAATTTTCCACTGTACTGGGGTTTAGTACCCCTAAACCCTCTTTGTTCAAGGGCTAACTGTATTTTCCAGATGACTTTGAGTAGGGAAGTAAAGGTCAGAGGGCACTGCCAGTGAAATGGTATCTGGGAATTTTGGGGTGGAGGGGTTGGGGCCTCTGCTTCTTAAACAGAGTACAGGCTTACCTCCAGAGGTTGAGGATAAGTTTGGCAGTTTTCCAAGATTGTCACTTTTGGGGAAAATTTGGGTAAAAACATTTTTATTTTTCCTATCTTACGTAGGTGCTGTGATGTATGTGTGAACAGAGTATTCCCGTTAAAACCAAATGGACTTTTCCTGTCTTTTCCATGCTAGCTCCCTAACACCTAGGACAGAGCCTAGCAGGTGTTTAATAAAGACTTGTGGAATGAGAAAAGAAAGGGACCATCTAAATAGCAGACCACAAAATGTCCATGGATCCCAGGATCGAAAAAGAGACTCTGAAGAAATCTCTTTTGTGGTGGTGGTCTGCTGTGAGCCCCTGAATAGACTCTGGGTTGGGGGAGAGGCAGTGGGTGTCACCGTCCTTAAGGCTTAGTAAAGGAGGCACGGGGAGGGAAGCCTGCCCTGACTTAGGCTGACCACCCCCTATTCCCAGGGAGGGACTTCTGTGAACCCCACCCCTAACTGGCCCACCTACTATAGGTTAGCTGGCACTCTTGACCAACACAACTCCGTCCTCACACTGACCTCACTGTCCCTCTTGCAGGGGTTTCCTGCTTCCCAGTTAGATGGACTGGCCCCCTCCCCTACTCCCTCCCTGAGGGTGTCTACTAACCTCCTGAGCTGGGAACTCTGAGGACAAAGGCTGGAAATTGGCCTGTCACACACCCCAGAGGAAAGTACTCCTATCTTCAAAGACCCCGCTGACTGGGGCCAGGATCCCAGCACCACCACCGACTTGGAGCCACGGTGTTCTCCCCCCATTAAATGGGCATGCTTCTCCGTGAAGAGCCGTCCTGGTGCTGTCCCAGCACCATGCCTGGGACGTGGCGCACTCTCAGGAACCGGTAACACTCCTTCCACAGAGGAGAGAGTCTAGTTCTCCTCCCTTTAAATATGGGCTGGCCCAGGGGAAGCGCAGAACGGTGGGCCTGGGGCGACCGTCTTTGTTTCTCTCTCAGCTTGCCCTGAGAACCAAGTCTCCAGGCCATGGAGCAGCCCCGCCCCAGAAAGGGGACACTTGTAAGGGTTCTGCCCAAAATCTTAACTAAGTTGACTCTGCCTCAGCAGGCAGATGTGAGCGAACATACCTTCTAGATTCAACCGTAGAAAAGACCTGGAGTGCTGGAGTGAACTGCCCAGCGTGGTCAGTCCAACCTGCGGACCAGAGAGAGTAAGCGGTCCGCACAGCTGCACGCCACAAGTTGGGGTGGCTTCTCACACAGCAAGAGAGGCTCTCAACAGTTAGTTGAACACAAAGCCCAGTGTTTGACTACGAGTTCACGCCCACAATCTTCCAGACCCCACGTCCCTGGGAGATGGGGGGTGGCGGGTGAAGCAGGTGGGACACTCACGCAGCACTGGAGTCGGAAAGGCTTGGTGGGCGTGGTGAAGCTGGCGCTGTGGATGGGGTCGGGGTCCAGGCCGTCGTTCCACTGGGCCAAGATCGCGTCCTGGTAAACGGTCACACCAGCGCCCCTGAGCGCGTCCTCCACGGCGCTCTCCACCGAGTAGTTGTTGATGCAAGTGATGGTGGAGGTGGGCGGGGGCTTCACCAGGAAGATGCAGGGGCCCCGCACCCCCAGGTTTAAGAGCGTTTCCACCGTGGTGTAAGTATCAATTGTATTTCCATAGACAATGACGTTCCCTGGGAAAGGAGGAAACTGCTGAGATATACAGTCAAGAAAAAAAATCAAAATCCTTATTAGTCAAGTGCTAATAAGGCTGGATGGCTCCCTATAACCCTCTTACTTTTCAGCTGCGGGAAGGCAGGGTGTTACCTAGCAACGGCGACCAAGATAATTTAGTAAAGAATTGGCACAAAACATCCCACAAAGTAGTCAAGTACTTTTAATGGAGAAGTAGGACATTCATTTATGTTCCTATAATTTGAAAGTTGAAATTATGCTGAATCAAACCGTCTAAAATAAACCTTTTATCTTATTTTTGTTTCCTATTTTCTACTCTTATTAAGGAAACACAATTACTAAAGTTTGCAATATATACTAGCTCTAAGAGGAGAGGGCAGTGGTAAAAAATATTCCTGCACACGATGTTACTGATATTTTAATTCCTGTTGAATTGAGTTGGTTTCAAGGAAATTGCTCCTTTTTTGAGAACTTAAGACTAGAACATTCTGCTTTTCACCAGATAATTTTATAAAGATTCAAATTCTAACTTTTAGAATTTAATGTGCTAAGACCTAACCAAAAGCATATACTGTGGTCAGCAAATATAAAATTACAAAATAATCTTGAAAGATTTCCCTCATTTAAGAATATTTTGATCAAAAAACCCAAAAGAATATTTTGATTGTAACAATCTATGCCATTTATTTATAGTTCTCAAAAATACCACAGAAGTAATTATAGATGCCATCCTATTTTGTCAGTCTTAAAATCAATAAATCTATAAATAAGTGAAATGCAGTATCTGCTAGTTTGAACACTACATTGACACTGTTACCTTTTCTACAGAGAAAAACCACTGCAGACTTACTTTTAAGTAAGTAAGGAACATATAGCAATTTAAACCCAAATGTATATTTCATTTAATTTCTATTTTTTAGTTTTTATGAAATGGGATGAAAAGAGTTTTACAAAGCAACATAAATGTCAAGTATATTAATTCAATTTGGTTGAGAAAATTATGCCAAATATATTTCAATCCAAAATTGAAAAGAGGGACAATAGCTTGTCTTATTTACTTAGGAAAATAAGTGAGAATAATTTTCAGTTGGCTTCTCTGGGGTAACATCTAGTCGGTTCTCCCACCCTCCCTGCTCCTCGACTACGGAGAGGCAAGAGGGCTATGGAGGGAGAGAGTGGGGCCCCCTCCCTGCCTGCACCAGAATGCTCCGATTGTGTGGGTAGGGTTTTCTGTCTGGATGCTCTAATGCAACATTCCTTGGGGAACTGCATTTTCCTTGGCTGAAAGAGGCAACATTTTGCTTGAATTATTAAGGCTCCCACCTGCTGCGAAAACTGAATCTTGGCTGTCTGGCCCAACAAAGAGCCAGCCTGCCAGGACAGGCAAAACTTAAGCCTAAAACTGTCAGAGGTTTGAGGTCTCCTACCCTTGAAAGTACGCGTGCCAAAACAATATTCATGTTCAGTTGAATGAATTTAAGTGTTTAGACCCCATGCAACTCAGAGTTCAGCATTTTTCTAGTCTCATTTATGTTAGCTGTTAGCAACTCTTCTGTGAGCTGGGCTTTTTTCATTACAGGTTTGTGGAGGACTGGGTACACAGTCCTCCTGGGGTTTGGAGAGCTGTGCTAGCTGGCAAGGGTTGCCCACAGACTGTAGGCAGCTTGAGAGGATGACAGTTTTCAATTCAAAAGGTAATACATTTTATAACATCAGATTTTTATAGGTGTTATAACTGTCAAATAGTTTCAGCTATCTTTAAAGTTTAATTTGAAATAAAATTCCCTTACCAAGAATATGAGAGTTTGCTTATCATAACAGTCAGCTGTTGTGGTAATATTGCTGCATAACAAGCCAATCCCAAATTGGCATCAAACAACGACAAGCATGTTGTGCATCAGCTCACACTTCTGTGGGCAGGCTGATGTCAGCTGACCTGGCTTCAAGTTGTGGTTGGACTCGGGTCTGCCCCAGATGTGTTTCGCCTCCGTGGACTGAGTCCTACCTGAGGCACTTTCTGTGTAGGGGCACAACAGGGCACGCAGCTGCCAGGCACATCTCAAGCCTCTGCCTGCGTCCCATTCGCTGTTATTGACCAGACCAAGTCACATGGTTAAGGGAGTGGGGAAATACGCTCTGCCCACAGAGGAAGGGGGAGGAGGAGGAATGCTCGCCAAACTCTGATAGTTCAGACCACAGAGTCATGTATTAAATAGCTGCCTACTTATGTAACCTCATCTGAAACATTTCATTTAGACATGCTTTGTATGATTATTTGGTTATATTTCTCTCACTACCCATTAAATATAGTTGAATCTCATCTTAATATAATTTGTTAATAAATAAATAAAAGCATGTTACAGGTCAAATCACAGTCCTCCACAAATACAATAAGATGATAAAAAGTCATGTAAAAATAAGCCTCTTACTCTTTGCCAGTCCAATCTCTTGCCTTTTGAACATCTCCATTCTGTGGGAGATGATTCTTTCCAACACCTTTGCACAATTGCGAGTTCTTTCATGAAACATTAATTCTAACTTTTACTTTGTGAAGAATGTTTAGATTCAGATTTAGATTCAATTTATATTTATCTTGTGACTTCTATACGTGTATACCAGGTATAATGTTAGGCATAATTCCTTGTATTACTATTATTATCAATTTACATTGTAACATTTAGAGCTATTAGAAATAACATTGACTTCACTCAAACGCCTATAAATAATTCCTTTGTAAGCTAACAGAAAAAGTATAAGTGTGGTGAGAATTCATAGAATAACCAAAGTCTTATATCTTTATTTTTATTTTAGATTTAGATTTACTTTAGATTCAGATTTAGATTCAATTTATATTTATCTTGTGACTTCTATACGTGTATACCAGGTATAATGTTAGGCATAATTCCTTGTATTACTATTATTATCAATTTACATTGTAACATTTAGAGCTATTAGAAATAACATTGACTTCACTCAAACGCCTATAAATAATTCCTTTGTAAGCTAACAGAAAAAGTATAAGTGTGGTGAGAATTCATAGAATAACCAAAGTCTTATATCTTTGGAGGCCCTCTGGAAAAAACTAGTAGCCAAAGACTTTGGTTATTCACTTTGTGATGAATCAACCTAAGCATAAAAGTATGATCACTGGCTCGGCGCCTGTGGCTCAAGTTAAGGCGCCAGCCACATACACCTAAGGTGGCGGGTTCGAATCCCCAGCCCGGGCCCGCCAAACAACAATGATGGCTGCAACCAAAAAAATGGCCGGGCGTTGTGGCGGGCGCCTGTAGTCCCAGCTACTTGGGAAGCTGAGGCAGGAGACTCGCTTGAGCCCAGGAGTTGGAGGTTGCTGTGGGCTGTGATGCCATGGCACTCTACCCAGGGGGATAGCTTGAGGCTCTGTCTCAAAAAAAAAAAAAAAAGTATGATCACTTACATTTACAAGAGTAATTTTACTAGTTTGAATGAGCTGGAACTAGTGCTTTTGAAGAATCCAGGTCAAGGCCATAGCCTTCCCTATTCCTGTGCCTGGGCTTCCAGCCAGGTGAGTCCCAGGGGGAACGTGGTGGTCTCCACCTTCCTTCCCAGCATGGCCTACACAACCAGGCTTCCCTGTAAGATGATTTCTCTGGACCATAAGCTCCACATCTGCCCTTCCGACTGCGTATCCCTGGGGCCTGGCACAGTGCCTGGCCTCCAGCTGTAACCATGTTTCCCAGCTAGATACATGGGTGTTTGAGATTTATTAGATTGCTGATCCTAAGACTTTTTTTTTTTTTTTTGGCTAATGGACCATACTTTTGTGCCCTTTAAATGACTTCACTGTGGCGAGATTCTCCTACTACATATTTGTGCTTGTTACTCACTGTTAAATAGTAGTGAACAAATGAAAGGGGTCAGGGACATGCAAAAACAAACCATCCCTGCCCCTTCCCCCCCTGTAGTATGTGACTGTTTAGCACTATGAGAAACATCCGGCCACAGAATGGGTCATGTACCTGATATGTGTAAAATAGAAACACGCTCCCCTTAACAATGTTAGAGTTGGTTACTAGGTCTCCGGCGTAACTTACAAAATCCTACATAATCCTAAATGTCACAAAAATTGTGTGCACCTACAACAAATTGTAGATATAAAATAATACTCCTGCCATATTGGTGACATTTAAACTCAGGGAAACAAGAAATCATATCCTAAATATGCGATTTAAGGCAAGGCAGATGTTGAGTAGATAGAAGAACAGGTTTGTAATGACGCTGAAAAGAACTTCTAGGGGTTTGGGGGAGTGTGAAAGGTTTACAGCAGTGGCTTTCCTTATGCGGATTTGACGTCAGGTCATGAGGCTTTCTGAAATTTGAGCTGGAGGTCAGCATGTTGCAGTGGGCAGGCCAATCTCTGTCTGAACCAAGGAGGGATGATATGGGAGAAAGGATGCGGACAAAGGAGGAAAAGTGGGCGGAGATAGATGAGCGAGAGCCTCAGTTCCTGAGTAAGAGTTAGACAGAAGAGGGAGTTTAAAAGTAGGTGACACAAAGTGACTGCTGAACATGCAGGTGGGTGAACAGAGGCTAAGTGACTAAAGGGAGGCCCAGGCCATGTCGGCTCTGCCTGCAGGAGGCACTGTGCTGACCGCTGTGTGCCAGCCATTGTGTGCAGGGGGGCTCCCAGGCACAGCTGTGTGGACAGAGTGAGGCCGCCCCAGCTCACGGGGCCCCGTGACAACTGTTCTTTTAGAGCATACTTTTAACAAGCCAGAAAAGTTCAGTTGGTTAGAGAGGAATTTAACCCCACTTTTCTACCACTTGGTGCTTTATAACTCATGGAAATATTTAGAAGCAGGTAACACATTCCTTTCACAGGACGGGGTGTCACATACACTGTGGAGAAGTTTCTATGCAGCTGTGGGGTTTTTCCCTGGATATCAATTTTATGCAAAAAGATTTGGTCACTGCCTTCTTTCCAGATCATCTTATAAGAAACGACCGATTGGGGGCTGGA